ACTTTCATATGGCACTACTATCTATTAAATATGTAGCTTTTTTAAACTTTTGAGTCTGTGGATGAAATCCTTTAGTGTGGCCTTTGAAATGAAAACTCTTCCGATCGGCAGTCCTTTCTCATGAAACTGTTTATTACTTGGGCGAAGCGCCAAGTAAAGGATTCGCGACGCTCAGGAACGTCCCAAAGTTGTTTTTTACGGAGACAGGATTGGGCACTCTGAGTCCGTGGGTTTTCGGTTTGAGTCGGCTATTTGACGAAGTGAGAGCAGAATTAGTTTGAGATATCTCGAGATCACTTCGAGTTTTTGCGTTCGAGGTACGAGAGCGCAACCCCTAATTTGTGTTGGGTGTTCTGTGCAATTTATAAGGGAGGTTTTTTCGAGACTGCAGGTTCGTCGTTGTCGACACACATTTGCCTGGCTTTGAGGCGCTTGCTTACGTTTTGCCTCACTTTGACGCGCTTACTCATGTGGCGATTCGAGTGTCCTCGGCGTTCATCTTTAAAAGGTTTGCTGAGGTCTGATATTCTGTCAAAGCTTCGTAAAATCATCTTTTAAGAAGTTTGCTGAATCTTCGTAAAGCGTACATCGATCTGTGTTTGCTGAATCGTCCAAAGCGTTCATCTTTCAGAAGTTTGCTGTTAAATTTTACTTTGGATTAAGCCTTCATATTTTTCAGCCAGACTCATTTTTCAGCATGGTTTGTCACTGTCTTTGGAAAATGTCTGCGACTCCTGATGCATGTATCAAACCGGGTTTAGTTCGGCGGCCGTTGGGCCACAAAGTAAATCTACCGAGATGTGAAGCTCGGCGGCGCCATTTGATCATGACTTGTGATATTTTCGGCACCGGACAAACGAACACTTTAACTCTATGTTATTTATTAGGAAAAACTTATAAACCAGCTCACAGTAGCGCAAGTCTCGAGTCACTGAAATCAACACGCTCGACCAAATTACTGGAAAAGTTATTGACGTGAGCCGCACACTGAAGGCTTCCATTGAAGGCTTTGACAGGGTTTGTGCGAAGTTTGAATTCAGATGTGAAAGCTTTTAAAACAGTAAATTCAATGTATTACATTTTGTTGATTGGATGCTCTTAAAAATAACGGAGAAAATTATCCGAAGAAATGTTTTTGANTAAATCTACCGAGATGTGAAGCTCGGCGGCGCCATTTGATCATGACTTGTGATATTTTCGGCACCGGACAAACGAACACTTTAACTCTATGTTATTTATTAGGAAAAACTTATAAACCAGCTCACAGTAGCGCAAGTCTCGAGTCACTGAAATCAACACGCTCGACCAAATTACTGGAAAAGTTATTGACGTGAGCCGCACACTGAAGGCTTCCATTGAAGGCTTTGACAGGGTTTGTGCGAAGTTTGAATTCAGATGTGAAAGCTTTTAAAACAGTAAATTCAATGTATTACATTTTGTTGATTGGATGCTCTTAAAAATAACGGAGAAAATTATCCGAAGAAATGTTTTTGAAGAAATGAATCCCGGGTTAAGCACTAATCGGCCTTTGAGCAACTGCACCCTGTAATCGCGCCAGTAAAACAAAATGTTCTATTTACACGCCCTACGCACTCTGGCCAATGTCTCCTCCAATTACAAGCACTTGACACCGAACAATACGATATCTTTTCAAAACCTTCTTATAACGATACACAGTTTAAATAGAGGTTTCGCTATAAGCAACCCTTACGTTCAAAATATGCCATAATCATATTTATCTATATCGCAACCACCCTTCCCCCTCAACTGCTACCTGTAGGCCTAAAAACATATCGAGCGCACTCTCCTAAGCTCCGATTACTCCTAGTTTTATCATTATTCATCTTGTTCTAACTGAATAGTTCGTAGGCAATAATCTAAACTGGGCAATAAAATTGAAATCAACAATAGTGTATAAAGTTATCTGTTATGAATAGTTTAATAATATGAAAGAAAGTTCTTCAAATAATAGATTGATCATACATGATCATAGAAGTATTAAAATCATTATCCTAAATTTTATTCAAATCCGCTGGATCAAAAGAAATTTGATTCAATAAAAAACATCGATTCACGTACATCGATCGCTACCGATTTCGCAGTGTAAGTTCTGTCGTGATAAGTAAAGAAGAAATGCATTCATAAAATTGACAAAACATGCCTCCAAAATCTTTGGTGAATTTTTCGCGTCCTTGATAGATAAGCCAATAGGCCACTTGCACTAAGAGGTCACGTGACCAATGCTTCCTTCAAACAATGAGTTGGAATATTGCTGATGCCAAAAATTGACAGAGCACATAAAAATTAGCTTACACCCGAAAATTAGGAAACGCATTTAAGGGAGATATTTTATCGCACTTTGATTTTTCAACAAAGCAGTATGATTTGTATTGGCCGCCATGTTAGAGGGCATACTCTTGCCCTCCTGTCCAATATGGCGGCCAAAACTACTTTTTGCTTATATCTTGTTAAACGTTTAATAGTTACGCTCAGATGTGCTGTAAACGTCACCACATCATTTCTTCAACATCCTCCTTGAAGTTTAAGTGCAAAGCTTGTGTTGAGAAAGAAGTAATCATAATTTTAAAAATCACATTTTGGTCACGTGACCAGGGAGGAACTTATTCATTTTAAGAAAATGGTGCGGGTATACACCGTATTCACAAATGGCGGACACGCGGGAAAAAACTGGTGCCTAGTCATGAAAGCGAGGCGTTGGAGGATAAACAAAAATTGCAAATGAAGACTTTCAGTGAACTTGCAGAGTGTTAAGCACGGATTCCACCTAAAATAACTTTGTACGGACTTCTTTTTAAACACAATTACGTGGGATGTCTTCTGCCTTTAATGTTTAGTAGTGATTTGCTGTTTCCAATCAAAAGGGACGCGAAGTTATTTTAGGTGGAATCCGCGCTTAACACTCTGCAAGTTCACTGAAAGTCTTCATTTGCAATTTTTGTTTATCCTCCAACGCCTCGCTTTCATGACTAGGCACCAGTTTTTTCCCGCGTGTCCGCCATTTGTGAATACGGTGTATGCAAAATCAAATTACTATTATTCTGTTTAAGATGTGACCCACTAATAGTTTTTCGAAGGCAAAATCATATAGCTTTCATTTTCATGAAAACTACATCACATGACCTCTTAGTGTAAATGGCCTATCTGCTAATCTTCTTATGTTTCCAGTAAAATCCTCCATGTTTAGTTATATTAGGATAGGAAACCACGTGCGTGTCAAAAGCTCGGGGATGGCCCCGAGGTAGGCAAAATTCCCGACCCAGGGGCACGCAAAATCTGCCTATGCCCCACCCCTGGGACTGAAAAGGCAGGCAAATTCCCCGCAGTAGGCCGGGGGAGGGGACTGGGCGCAGTTGGATTTGACAGATGCATTAAGTTAGGAATTCCGAGGAAAATTCGAACTATTTACAACGTCCACTATGGCTCCACGTCTACATTTCAGACAACTCTTAGTAATTAACAATATTGCAGCACTCACACATGGCTGACACAAAAAATCCTCACGTACCAAGGGCGGATCTAAGGAGAGGGTGCAGGGGGTGTGCAACCCCCCCCCCCCGCCCCGAGATGACCAGCGGCTTTCTAATTATCACTGTGCAGTCGCTTCACAGTTGATATGTTTTCTCAGCAGTTCACATTATGTTATTGCCTTGTCAAAAGCCTTCTTCTTCGTATTCGCTTTTAAAATATGTTTACGTCACCAGTCAGTTACGCCATCCCTTAGTGGTGTACCCCCTCCTAAGAAAAATCCTGTCCCTGCATACGCGCGATACAACGACGCCCAAGTGTACGCTCCGATAGCGTCTTGTTTAGTATGTAGTTTCAATGTCTTAGTCTGTAAAACGAGACCCTTCAACAGCACTTTCACATGGTGGCCGTGCTACTAGTTTTTTAGTATTTACTAGACTATTTCCCCATTTTTCCGTAAGACCGTCGAGATTGAGCGCTTTGTGTTACGGGAAGTCATCTTGGATGAGTGTCAAAACTACTTAGTAGGGCGGTTTAGCAGAAAGTGAGAAAAATATTTTCTCGTCTTCCTCCTCCTACCGCTTTAAACCCCGACGCCCGCCTCCTGGGTACCCAATTATGAAACCAAGATGGCCTTCCGTACTTGTAAACGCTCGATTCTGACGATCTTACGAAAAAACAGGGGACTGCGAACAATCTAAGTATATACAAAATATGATGTTTTGAATTTTGACTCCATAAGGTGACTCTGAGAGACCATTTCCTTGCCTTCCAAGCCACACCAATACGCCCATCCTGTACAAGTTGAAAAGTATTTAATATTTAAGGTAAATTAGCACACAGGTGTTTTATGATGAACGAATCTGATCTGCAATAGAAAAGAAAAATTAATCAATTTTATGCTGCACCACAATGAATTGTCGATCAGTTGTGGCTTAAAGGCGACACCACTGGAAAAGCAATTTTATGCATACTACTTCTCTTACAGATCTACAGTTTATTACTGGCAGTAGTGTCTCTATGACTTGTATGATCTTAAGTTTCCCCAAGTGAGTGGCAAAAAAAAAAATGCGTGTCTTTAAAGGTCTACGTGAAGGTTTAAATCTTGCTCGTAAAAATTAACCCTGTTAATTCCATGATTTTCATTTTTTGAATGAACTTTTTATCAGTAATTATCAAAAAAATAAAGTAGAAATACTGATTTGTCAGTCGAAATTCCTGGGGAAAATTGACTTGAACTGCCGGGAGGTTCAATTGAAAGTAAATTGTTTGACTGGAGAAGAAAGGTCAGTTTTGTTTTCACGTATGACAGTAATCAGAAGGATTAAGAAACTATAAAAGGTTTAAATTTAAACAAACTTTCAAATTTATCAGTAAAAACGATAAACTCGCTAATGGTATCTCCAATGTTCTTGATAATACTGTTAACCAATCTTTTGTAGACTGGAGTCAACATTGTACATGTAGGTTTATTACATGGTTGTATTCCAGAGCTGTTTACTGAATTTTCTACATCACATGTGGCAGTTACACCCACCTGTAAGCCAATCAACCCCATCATTCAGTCCTTCCCCTGTGAGAGCATTACTGGCACTACAAATAAAAAAGGGACATAAATGAAGTACTTTACATTTACATAGAAAAGAAAAACAGAAATAAATTTTAACAAAGTATGACTTTGGAAGTTTGTAACTTGAACAAGAACTGTTGCATGATTATGGAAACCAAAGGTAACAGATTGCCATGAACTGATCAAAGCTATCTGTGATGATGCTTGCCTCAAGTGATGAATGACAAAATTGTCACACAACCTCACGTGAAGTAAAGATTCATGACGAAATACCTTGGTATAATGTCAGGGTGCAAAGAAATCATTTTTACTGGCATTTGCTAGCCCAGGCGTCACTTCAACCTGAGCCCCAAAAACTTTTTGACTAGCAGAATTGATTTCACAGTTCTTCTGTTATTTGAATTCCTCAAAAAAATATCACTTGCCTGTCGGACAAGTTAAAAACAGAATTCACTATCCTGATAGCAAAATCCACTAGCCCCAGGCCACTGGACACTAGTTTGCACACTGAATGTTGACCACAATTTCAAATTTTTTCGTTTTGATTAAGGGTTCTTTTTGGGTTGTTGTCTTTAAGTTACTTCCCTAGTATCTAGTAACCCTTTAAGTCCTGAAAGTGACAAACACCAATTTTCTCCCAACAATATCAGTATACAATTAAGAGAAAAGGTTGTGAGAATTGATAAAATGATCACCAAAATAAAATGCTTTGATCTTTTATCAAATTCTCTCAATGTATTCTTTATGGAAAAGTATAGAGACCAGTTTGGAGAATTTGTATAAGGATAGGGCGATTTTCGTATGACCTTGAAATGAAAACGCACGAACAAAACAGAAACAACAAACAAACCGAAATAGAGCGATATGATTGGTTGATCGAACGGACACAAACGTGCATGGCTTTTGGTTGGATAAGCGAATGGTTGGGTGAAAAAACTTCATGCCAGAGAACTTTCTAGAAATCAACCGATACTTTGCTTTGACGTCACACTGCAACACGATTGGCCAATCGAACAAGACCTTCTCCATATTAGGGTTTTCTTTGGCGGGAAAACGAAGAGGCCATGTTTTGAAATTTCATCCATTGGCTGATAAAACAAATAACGAATACTCAACAAAACCATTTTTTAAGGTCACACGAAAATCACTCTATTGGGGCTTAAAGGGTTAAGACCAATGCATCACATTCGAAAGTGTCTTAGCTCTTAAATGCTTTAGGTCTTTCGAATGCTGCCAAATTACGAATTAAATTTAAAATTAAATTGAGTGGCCATTGCAAGCCATCTTACATAAGACATCTTAATTACCATATATGCCATGGTTTGTTTGTTATATCATGTAAACCCATCTTGTTTGAACACTGAAAATAAACCAAACAATTAATTTCAAAGCCAGCATATCCTTTTTTACAATAATGATCTAATAGTACATATTGGTTTGTAAAAACCATAACGTGGCCATTTGTTTTATGTTTTACATGTCTGTCTGGATTTCATACAAGGTGCCTGTACTGAGTCTCTAGGCAGTCAACTCCAAGGAGCCATTACTCACCCTCCCCACCCATGAAGCTTGTGACTAGTCAGTCACTTCCCCCAAGCTCTGCTAGTAGTGTTATGATTATGAGTCACCGCATTGATTTGGCTGGCCTAGGCCACAGGAAAAATTCTCTGACTTTGCACTGCTTTCTGACATAAAACTCTAACCAAAGTGACAAAATCTCCCCTCCCTACTGCCCTGGTTTTCACACAAAACAAGGAAGCCACCCACCCACGGATAGGTCTGCGCCTGAGCTCTCAGCTGACACCTAGCAAGATGGCAAGCCCCCTGGTTTTTTTCTAACTACACTGGCTTGAACAGGGGTGATGCCCGTGTTCAAGCGAAAACTTAGCGGGCACCTTTTAGCAAAATCACACAGACATGTATATTATTATAAATATTACTGTCCTTTAAGATAGTAAATAAATAAAACAGTTCTACCTGGACAGGGGAGAGAGAATCTTTCAGGTCCATTTTATTTGCAAAAACTAAAATAGGCACTCTCCTTTGAGTAATTTCTGAAGAAGAATGAATTTGTCAGGGTTAGTAATAATAAAAGAAACAATAAAGCCATATTTATTAATCACTTTTCAAAAATGATGTCATTTAACAGAATGTGGAGACAAAATCAATGTTCGTAGTTTTTTTAATCCTAATAAACACTTGCAACTATTAGGTTTAATCATAAATTTGACAAAATTCTCAAATCTGATTGGCTATAAGCTGTCCTGATTTCAGTACTAATACGACAGTGTAAAAGGACAGTATGCATCGTGCCTAAGCAATAATTGGACAATACGTGCCATCACACAAGTGCACTTAAATGGCTTTTTATAACTGCTACCAAAATTCCCTATGTTTTGATTTTGAAAAGCCTGAAATATCACAAATTTTGTTATAGTCATGATTAATTGGTAACAGAACTTCGTGTCATCCAATTCAGTCTTTAATCATACACTGTACTCACGATTAAACAAATTACACTTGTGCTGCTATGCAGTCATCCCATTTTGTTTATCTCTTGTATGATTACATACCGAAGTGGACTCCACTCAGTCCTATTACCATTATTAATCATACTCGTGACTAAACAAATCGGACTTTGGCTACACGGTCATCCGATGTTGTTAATCACTCGTATGATTACAGACCGAATTGGACTCCACTCAGTCCTATTACCATTATTGACTACATTTTATTGACACTAACATTCATGACTAACCAGGATGTTGAAGTAACATGTCTAACTCTTCTTTGGCTACAACCATTCTTAATTTGTCACTACTGTCTAGCACAAATATGACTGCTTGAGCTGTTCTAATAGGCCCAACAAAGAAAATAAGAATCATTATTAGTAACTGTACATCTAAATAGTAAAAAAAAAAAACTACAGTCGAAGCTCTCCTTGCAACCACTCTTGTCAGCAACCAGCTCTAGAAGCGGTTTGTAAAGTTCAAGGTCATTTCCATAGTGATGACTTAGCCTGCATGGCAATGACCAGACACAGAATTACATGTATAAATGTCTTTCTGAATCTCTCGTAAGCAACCACCCTCTATTGTTTTACAATGCAGTGGCTTATGAGAGCTCTAGTTATGACCTTTTTTCGAATTTCCAATGTGGTCGCTTACAAGAGCTTTGACTTGACTTTTGACTTCAAAATTTTCATTAGCCATTAAATAAATTTTTGGTTTTATGGTGTTACCTGTAACCTCTAATTAAAAATAGTTGTTAGTCTGATGTGACAGGAGATCATGTGATAGCCAATGCATTACAGCCATTTATGAAAGGAAAAAAGGCTGTCTTACAAACAGTTTCAGACACGTTCTTACATAAACTTTCCCTATAATTGGACCTGGAATAAGTTGCAAATTAGCTAAAGGTGACTCGACCCAGTTTTTTTTGGGGGGTACCATCCTACTTTGAAGCTCTCTGGTATCCCCACCTTTACTTTTATCGTAAGTCTAACACATAGGATGGATGACATATAGATCAATCTACAATATAACATAAAATTTTTGGCGATCGGAGTAAACGTCACATGGTTATAATGCCACGCCCCTTTGAGGTCTGAGTCGAAAATCTGCTGTTGCCGGCATTTTTTCGTGAAAATCTCTCGGCTACACATAGTGCGCATTAGTGCCTTGCGCTGAACAGAGTTTCACCAAAATCGCACTGACCCAATTCGAGAAATTCAGCGGTTTCCAAATTTAGGTCATAATTCATGCGAAAATGATAAGCAAACTTTACACGGATTATATCTAATAAACTATGAGATTTATCTCTTTATTTGGGGCATCGTTATAACAGATGGGTCCTTGCAAGTCAGCAAAGCAATTTAGGGCCTTGTAAATGCACGCGATTTTGATCAAAGCAAACATATAGAAATTATAGTTTTCGCTATTAGCTGACATTTGTCAGCGTTTAAGAGTCCTTCTCGCGAAAAAAGCATTTTCTTAAAAATTCGTAGTTTTTTTTCCTTCAAATTTTTTCAGGGCCACAATTGATTAACTAACTACCCGGACTCTGAATTTCATGGTCATTGAAAAACTGTGACATTATCTTCTATAAGCCCAAACTTGAGTAAACATTGAAGATTTTTAGCGTTTTGGCTGAGTTTGTGCTTTGGGAGTTGTCTATTGTTTCTAGTCTGTCATGATACAGCATTCTTGTTCAGCACGCGTGCAATGACCGCGCTTGGCTGACTTCTGACAGGGTCGAGTCACCTTAAACAAATCTATTTTATCAGGTACCACACCTTGAATTGCGATTGCTACTGCATGGCATGAGATCCACACAAATGAGCCGCAGGGTAACTATCCTAGCAATCAGAGTCACCAATTTGGCCACCTGTGCAACAGCACTACCCTGATCAGGGTAGTGATGCATCATCAGTATGGAATTTCTGCACTTGCTCCTCAGGCATCATTTTGTGGGCAAACTATTGGTGGCATCATGAGATGTCAGCTGTTTTCTCAGGCTACAAACCAAACTGCTTAAAATGACCCCATGCTGGAACTGTTGTCCCTATATAATAGCTGTGGTCACACTACAGACTTTTTACCTAGGTAAATTCGTGTTGTTGACAGTCTACCTGGGAAAACTTGATTTTTAAAGTGTGACCAATTTTTCCCTAGGTAACTTACCTCAGGGAAATTTTATCGTCTGGGTCTTGGATATGTCTCGAGAACAAAAGAGTTTCCCTTGACAGCTAACCCAAAGCGATAGCTAGGGAAAAATGAAATACCGAGATTGCTAGCAAATCGACGCTCATCGGTGAAGGTCTTGATGACAGAACCGGACATAGCTCATGCTCTGAAAGAAGTTTTTGGGGGCACGAGTCGTCTACGTCTTCGGCTTTCTTCACCTTGCACGTTGAATAGCGTAAGAAATAACAGTGAGATAAAAGAGAAAAAACGTCTCTTTGATCAGCTAGATCCCTGTGCATCTTTACGCTCCAAAAAATTCAACTGGCGTGAAAACCTTGGGAGCTGATATCAGTAGTGTGACCTTCCCAGAATTTTCACCTAGGTAAAACAAAACCTGAGATGAATTTACGTCAGGAGATTTTTTATGAATTTACCCTAGGTAAATTGCTTTTACCTAGGTAAAAGTCTGTAGTGTGACCACAGCTGATGTCATCAATTAGGTTGATGCTATCAGTCTATGAATTACACAGTAATTGAACTGGGTCTAAATCACCTTCAAAATACCCTGCTTAAAGCAAACTTACTTGTAATAATGTTCCCACAGATTTCTGTATCTTCCTTGGCCAGACATATCAAACACAGTAAAGTTGAGACTAGTAAAATTAATTTGCAAAATAAAATTAATAGTATGTCAGGCAAGGATAACAGAGAAACAAAAATGTAAAATGCACTTTATTTGAGTGTCAATGTATTAAGCACGAAAGCGCTAATTGGGGACACTATTTTTTTCATCTCCTAGTGGAGACGGGACCGCCATTTTACATGGTCATCTGAGCCACGCAAAGGTCTTGCCGCTTGCACTGCAAAGGGAGTAACTTCATTTGTCAGTTACCGTAAAATTCCGAAAATAAGCCCCGGGACTTATATTTTTCAAAGGCCCTTTTTGAGGGACTTATATTCGGAGGGGCTTATCTACAGAGGGAAATTTGTGTTTCAAAATCGATTGGGCTAGCTTGTAGTGGGAAGGAAATTGACCATTTTTGCTTTGTTTTACATAACTTTGTATTCGAGGGCAAATTCCAAGTACAAGCCCCCAGGGGAGGCTTATACTTGGAGGGGCGATTAAACAGAGGGTTTTTTGCGACACGATTTTGGGGGGCTTATATTTGGAGGGGCTTATACATGGCGGGGCTTATTTTCCGGAATTTTACAGTACTTTAAGACCCTGAGTAATGGTCTGGCCCTGGGAATCGAACCTGCAACCTCCAGCTCTGCAGTCAAGCACTCTATCGACTGAACTAATTCTGCCGCAGTTGAAAGGTTGAATAATTTTTACACCTTCCAACGAAACACTACTGTATATAGTGTAAGTGGAATTTTCTTGCTTTACCATTTTCTGTACAAATGGTGGTAATTTGTAGCGGGTAAAATCCCGCACATAAGCTAAGCTACGTCTAACAATTAACAAGGACGAGAGAAGAACCTATATAAAGCTTAAATCTCAAAATAGTTCACCTCTGTTAAGACTTTTGAATAAACCAAATACTAATCTTTAAGTTACTAAAAGCTTAGTGTTAAAGGTTAACAAAACTCCACGTGAAACCACCAACTTAATCGTTTTTTTTAAGTTAAAAATTACATACCCAAAAGCTTATTTTGGTAGGTGTAGCTTATTTTTTATTCAACATTTACCTTTGTGATATGAACTTTTCCACAGTAAAGCCTACCGTGGGTACAATATCTTGCGCTTGAGTCTAAAAATGGAAAATTTGTAGAAAAACATCCAATGTTAAAACAAGAGTAGATATTAAAAAGATCAATCTCATCATCGACAAACACAAACAGACCAACGCATGGCAAACTAACCTTCTCGGGTTTTAGTTTGTTTATAATGGTAGTTTTGCCACTATTGTCCAGTCCTATACAAAGGACATTGATCTCCTTCTTTTTTAACCCTAGCCAGTTTGATAATCTGTCGAATAATCCCATAGCATAGGCGACTAAAGACCACTACTTATTTTAACTTATCGTTTAAATTAAATCAAGTTGTTTTTGGAAACGACTCCTTGGTGACCACGCACCAAGAGCAGCAATCGCGAGGAACTGGGAGCATCTTCCCTGACGTCATACAAGAAATGGCCGTCGCAGGATGTTGTTTCCGACGTGATTTTGTCCGTTTTTCTGTGAAAATTTGTCGGTTTTCATCGACTTTAACCGGGACAGCTAGTAAGTATTATTTATTTTAGTTCTTCTTTTAAGAAAATTAAGGTAATTCCGGACAATACAGTTAAAACTAGACTGATATTGTGTACACTAGGTTTCGGAGGAAACCAGTTTCGGAGGAAACCGGTTTCGGATCGAGGAGAGGTTTATTTCGCAATTTTTCATAAGCTTACGCATATATATCATTTTAAGATTTATTCTGCGAATGGTCTGTCTTTGTTGCATCCTGAGAACTTAGTAAAGGTTTTAGGATGATATGAGAACAAGCATACATGTAAAAATTATGATCGATTTATCAAACATTTTTGACAGTGTGTCGTTTCAGAGGTAACCGGTAATTTTGCCCCAAGTCATTGCATTTCGTCCCGGTGACTTAGCCCCCTATTTTCGAGTCATTAAGCGCGCTTCAAATGTAACGTTCCTCGTTCTGTAAGCCGTAAAGCAAAACAAGCGCGCTTCTAATGTAATATTCCTCGTTCTAAAATATGGGGGTAAGTAACGGGGGCAAAATGACTCTAGAGCGTTTCAGAAGACTACCAGTAACGTTTCAGAGCATCAAGATTTGTTTGTGGCCTTATTTAAGTTGAGATTGTTTCTGGCAATAGACCTTTTCGTGGTTTTTTCAACTTTTTATATGGGCCAGTTAGAGAAAACCCATTGACACCACCGAAAAGAGCACCTTAATATTAGTAAAATTATTGCCAAATTTGAAAGTGATAACATCTTCAGCGTGCGAAGGTATAGCTCCACAAAGTTCCGAAAATTTACAGATGTTTGTATGGCGGGGTGTAAGTTTGTGCCCCTCACCATACAAAAGTCTGTAAAGTTTTGTGACTTTGAGGACCTGTATCTTTATTAACTTTCAACAAATCACTTTCAAACTTAGCAGTTTTATTAATTTCAAGACACTTTTTCAGTGGTGTCGACGAATTTTCCCAAACTTGTCCATGTCAAAAGCTGAAAATACCGTGCAAAGGTCTATAATTTCCAAGGAATCTGAAGATTCTTGGAAGTACCAGCATATTCTGGCCACATATTTCTGCTAGCTAAGAGTAAAACCCAACTTGTTGTTGTTGTTGTTGTTGTTTTATGTTTTCAAGTTAATAACATGAATTCTACTTATTTATTTATTTTATGTATTTTCAGATGACATATTAAGAGTACCTCATCCAGATTTCCATAGCCAAGAGGCTGGTCCTCTTAAAAAGTATGATGAAATGGTTAGAAATGGAAAGCTTAAGCTTGACAGATATCAACGGCAGATTGTTGAACATCTCCAAAGATTATATAGTGAAATGCTTGATTATCAACCCAGCAATACTGGGTTCCTTAGTAAGGTAGGGAATGACTGAGAGTATTAACTTGATTGTTTTTTGAGTGTATCAGTGCATTATTACTGCCAACCCAGGTCCATACATGAATCAGTTTAATTTGAAACTAATTTGTAGTTGGATCTGTTAGCACTGTGACTGCCACTGTGACTGCCACTGTGCCTGCCACTGGACACTGCTACTACTATTGCTAATGATAATGATAATGCTAATGATATAATAATAATAGTAATAATAATAAT